AGCTCTCGAGGCAAGGCCGTGGTGGAGAGAGACACTTTACCCTAAGGCTCCAAACAGCCCAAAGTAGGTACTATTTACAGACTTTACACCCCAATGTAGGTATCATTTATATACTTGGAGCCTTAGGGTTAGTGAAATTCTTTGGTTTGATCCAACTTCCCTGACCCTCTGGAGATTTCTCCGACCTTTACCCCAAGTCACCCCTTAGTACCGATCTTGACTGGCTTAGGGTACCACATCAAGGGCCCGCGCCTGAGATGAAGCCCCATGCGGTCCTGCGAGTTCTACAGGGGTTGAGCACTGCATCAGGGTGCTGGGTGCAGGATTCAGGGTTCAGGGTTTGGGGTTTAGGGTTTTGGGAAAAGATGGTGTTCACCCATTTTTTCAAATGGTCAAATGGAAAACACGTTTGCATCAAGAGGAGCACGCTCGAGTCCACCATGTGATCCCATGCCATCGCCCGAAACCTGTAAATCCCAACCAAGCCCTGAACCCGAAATCTGAATTCGCAAACTCAAACGAGTATTATCGGGTTCTTCAGGGAGGGGGGTTCAAGGGGGGTAGGTACCTAGGGTAGCTTAGGGAGCCTTAGGGAGTCGTAGGGAGCATTAGGGAGCCTTGAGCCCCCCTTCCCTTAAGAACCCTAAACACTAAACCCTAAACCCTAAACCCTAAACCCTAAACCCTAAACCCTAAACCCTAAACCCTATGAGAGTAGCCCATGGTTGGCGAGCAGCCCCTGGGCAGGCGGCCACGCGGAGTGCGGCCGCCAAGGCTTTGGCGGCAGGCCACTCCTGCTTGCGTCCCGTCGTGTGGGGGGGGGGGGGGGGGGGGGGGGGGGGGGAGGGGTTAGGGTTGAGGGTTGAGGGTTGAGGGTTTAGGGTTTAGGGTTTAGGGTTTAGGGTTTAGGGTTTAGGGGTTTACGAAACAGGGTATCCCTAAAGTAGACCCCCCAAATAGTAGGATCCCCCTTGAGTAAGGACCCCCAAGAGCGGACACCCCCGTATAAACCCGATGGAGAAGGGCCCCTTGCCCCCCACCCCCACCCAAATTTGAAAGTTGTACTCAAAAGAGGCCCTAAACATGTTTTTGCTTGGCGTGTTCCCCGTCATACTAACAGTCCTTCACAGGGATTCTAATAGGGGGTACTATATTCCATATTCAGGACCGTCATCTCCAATTTTGGCCATCGTTCGGATCCTGCTTGATATGGACTACTATCTAAGGGTCCATGTACCTAAATAGGGAATACTTTGGCCTTAAAAGTACCTCCTATACAGGGACTTTGGGGCCCAAGTAGATAATACTGAGGTACATGGACCCTTACAAGGAGGGCACCCAGAGTTACAAGTAGAGTTATAGGAGCCCTAAATTGGGTTATAAGGAGCCTAACTTAGGTTATAAGCCCCGCGTTTTAAGGTGTTTTGGGGTGTAAGGGAGGGGAGGGGGAGGGTTCCCTCCCCCAACACCATCCCACACGCCGCCAGGGTCGGCGGACCCTCAACCCTCAAACCCTCTGAACCCTGAACCCTGAACAATGAACCCTGAACCCAACCCGGGCACAAACCAAGCAGTCCCCTAACGTCCATGGAAGCCTCGCAGGAAGGGCGCAACTCGATTGGGCCAGACAGGCCTGGTTCCGCAAGGAGAGTGTAGGGCAGAGCGTTTAGGTTTTTTGGCTTAGGGTTTGGGTTTCCTAAGCCCTCAACCCTAAACCCTAAACCCTAAACCCTAAACCCTAAACCCTAAACCTAAACCCTAAACCCTATTGTCTCTTGGGTCTCTTTTTTCAGAATTGTTCTGGGGGCTCAGAGTTCAGGAAGCTTAGGGTGTAGGGGGTGTTAGAGCTCAGGGCTTGGAGATGTTTGTTTTCGGGGTTGGGTTTTGAGAGCTTATTCTCTTATTCTTACTATTTTGTATTTCTTTGTTTTTTTTTGGGGGGGGTTCGGTTGGGGATCAGTGGTTGGGGGTTTGGAGTTTTGTGAGATTGCGCCCTAAAGCCCTTCGAACTCTCAGACGAAACTCTAGGACTCAGAGTTCAACGGTTGCCTCGGCCTCGCTCCTCAGTGTTCCGATTTGGCATGTGGGGTGTAGCTGTTTACAGGGATGAGGAATGAGGTGCTCTCCTTTTTCTATTACTTTAGGTCTTGAACACCGCTGTTGCTGGCAGAGCGAAGTGCTTCATGACTTGCAGCGAGGCACCAAGCACGACAACGAAAACAACGTTGAGGACAGTGCTGCCATTGGTATGTAGCAACTTCCTGCCAAAGAAGAACTTTTTGCGACGTTGAATGCCATAGACCCTCGCCCGCAGACCTAAGCTTCCTGGCCTCCCACCCTGAGCCCCACACCCCACCCCTTCAACCCGAGAGCCCTGAAACCGCGCTTGACCCTGACATCGTACATCTTGTGTTTTTGTTTGATTTCGCTTAGGGTTGAGGCTTAGGGTTTAGGGCTGAGGGTCCCTTGTAAACCTTCTTGAGCAAAAAAGCACCCCTTGTTCTACCAGCTTGCTGGGGAGCCTTACATCCTTGCAAACCCTAACCTTACAAATCTTTGAAGGCGCATGAAGAAACTAAGAAAGCTCTGTATGAACCCTGAACCCTGATTAACCACTAGGATGCCCAGTAGCATCCCTTTTTCCCTTTCCGGGGGGGGGGGGGTTAGGTCCCCTTAAAACTTATAAACACCTTTCAGCGAAAGAAGGGGCACCCTTTTGTAATACTAGGTTGCTGGGCAACCAAACCTTAGAACATAAACCCTCCCTCCTTAAATGCTCTCTCAGGGTCCATTTGCCTCTACAGTATGTACACACAGAATAAACAAATATCAGGAGGCCCTCGAGCCGCTACGATATAGGAAACCATGTAGGCCCAAGTACGTTTAGGGTTTAGGGTTTAGGGTTAGGGTTTAGGGTTTAGGGTTTAGGGTTTAGGGTTTAGGGTTTAGGGTTTAGGGTTTAGGGTTTAGGGTTTAGGGTTTAGGGTTAGGGTTTAGGGTTTAGGGTTTAGGGTTTAGGGTTTAGGGTTTAGGGTTTAGGGTTTAGGGTTTAGGGTTTAGGGTTAGGATTTTCGGGTCTTGAACAGCCTCACGAACCTTAGGCCCGCGCAAGCCAGGACCTTTCGCATCATCGGAACCACGCACCATACCGTGACCTCCTCGGCTTTCCTTGCGGGGACGGGCTGGGGGAGGGGGGTTATGTGGCGGGTTTCAGCACGTGCCCTAACAGTAACAGTCAGGTCTGAGATATAGGGGCTTTTTGACCAGAAATGATATGTAATGGTTGTGTGGGGCAGTTCCTAACAGCACATACTGTTGTGCTTCAGTTCCCACAAGGGTCCCATCAACCATGCACTGGCCGAGCAAAACCAGAAAAGATGGTCTTATCCGGACATGACACACTATGAAGCCATGCTGTTGGGATTGTTGAAGGGTTCCTTCTAGGTCAAATCTTGCCCCCCCCACTCTGTCACAACTCAGCCTCCTCCACCTAAACCTTATAACCCAAAATGCTATACCCTAAACCTTATAACCCAAAATGCTATACCCTAAACCTTATAACCCTAAACACTATACCCTAAACCTTAAAGCCTAAACCCGAAACCCGCAAAGGCGCCAACCTCAACGTTGACGACGACCCTCAAGCAGTCAGGAGCCCGGTGGATTCGTGCGCCCTGGTTGTAGGGGTTTTGGGGTTTAGGGTTTAGGGTTTAGGTTTTAGGGATTGCGGTTTAGGGTTGCTGCAAGTTGGAGGGGTTTCAGGGTTGGGAGTTTGGGGCTTTAGGAGTTCAGGGCTTTAGGAGTTTAGTGGTTAGGGTTTAGGGGCCAGGGCTCCCTTTTGGGGGTGTTTCTTGGGGGGGGGGGGGGTGGTTGCTCTAAGTTGCGGGCCCTTTTCGGAGATCCTTGTGGCAGGGACCTTGCCCTGAACGCCAATCCGCTAATCCCCACACTCCCTAAACTTTAGGCCCTAAACCTCAACCTAAAACCTGAATCCCTAACCCCTAAACCCTAGACCCTAAACGCTAAACCCTAAACCCTAAACCCTAAACCCTAAACCCTAAACCCTAAACCCTAAACCCTAAACCCTAAACCCTAAACCCTAAACCCGAATCAACCTAAACCCTGAATCCTGAACCCTGGGCCCATACAACAGCCGCTCGCGGCCAAGGGCTCCGTCGAAGATTCCAGCCAAGATGTCGGCTGTGTTTGGGAGCTCAGATCTCACTCCGGGACCGTAGACCTTGCTTGGAGGTTCATTGTACTTATTAACCCATTATAACTGTACTTCTAGCCCACTTGTAAGCCGCTGATGTGCCC